ACGTTCGCGATGCGATGGCTGAAAGCCAGGACCTGCAGAAACAATATGCAGATGAAAAGGGAAGAGTGGAAAGCCTTAAGGTCGGGGACCTGGTTTTATTAACTTCTAATATCCTTCCTACACATGCAGCCTCTGCTAACTTCAAGACGAAGCTTCGTCTAAGGTTTATCGGACCGCTCAAGGTTTTTGCCATGCGGGGCCTAGCGTATACGCTGAACCTTCCAAAACAGATGCTCACCCGCCCGGTGTTTTACGTGGGCTTGCTCAAGCCGTACCAGAATCCGGCGCAAGTGAACACGGAAGCGTTGGCGCCGGAGCGGATCCCACGGTCCCTCGGCCACCCAGAAGCCGAACCAGCAACTGGTTCTGAGCACGGAGTGCAACAACCTCCATTTTTAATGGCGCCAAGCAATCCACCGCCGCGTGAAGCGACGCATTCGCCTGCTCCACGGCTAGAAGTTGCTCCGACAGAGCGCGGTAGTTCTCAAGGTGAGGCAGCCGGCGCACGATGTGCTTTAAATCGTCAAGAGCGTCCGCACAGCGATATGCTACTTCAGCATGACGCTTGGCGGAGCTCCAATCACGAAGGACCTCGTTTAAGGGCTTGAACAGCATCACGAGTCACCGGACGGCGGTCGACCCGGTCGTCACCACCCACCACCGACTCTTCTCGATGAGAACGGTGACGTCCACTATTATGTGAAACGTCTTGTTGCACGACGTCGTCACCGGGGTTAAACCCAATATCTGGTGAAGTGGCGGGGATATCCCGACTCCGAAAACTCGTAGGAGTTTGAGGCGCCACTTCGTCAAGATTGCCCAGACGCTGTGGACGTTTTTGATCAGAACGATCAGGACGCTCAGTGCTTTCCGGCAATAGCCAGGGAAATAGAAGGGCCATGAGCTTAGCCCAAGCAGTGGCCCTTGAGCTCTCGGGGTCGCAGACACAGAGCTCGCATGAGCGTTAGGGGATTACCCATACGCCGCAGGGCAACAATCCGAGGGAAGTCGACGGCGTGCCTTGAGTTTGGCAAAATCAAATCATAGGTGCCGCTCCACATGCCCCTCCAGTTCCTTGTGGCTCAACTGTAGGTTGTACAGTGAGAAAAACTTTCGGTGCCGTTGCACCCATCGCTCAAAGAGCGCTTTGTCATCTGTAGCGCTTTCGCCAAGGGCGAACACTACAGGTATCGTCCGCATTGCGGGTGCACGAGAGCCACCTCGTTAAGCACGTAGACGAGCGCGATAAACGTCCTGCAGAAATTCTTGTGGGACTAAGAAACGAGCTCGAAGAGCTTTTTGATTGGCAAGTTCATATTCCGTTCTGGTCGGGGCCCGATGATGTGGACGCGTAACGATCAAGTTACC